AGTGGCAGTAGTAGCGGTAGTAGCTGTGGGAGTACTAGTCGTCGTAGTCGTACGTCGCAGTCGCAGTCGCTGTCGCAGTCGCAGTCGCCGTCACAGTCGCAGTCGCAGTCGCAGTCGCAGTCGCAGTCGCAGTCGCAGTCGCAGTCGCAGTCGCAGTTGCAGCCGTCGTCACAGTCGCAGTCGCAGTCGCAGTCGCAGTCGCAGTCGCAGTCGCAGTCGCAGTCGCAGTCGCAGTCGCAGTTGCAGCCGTCGTCGTAGTCGCCGTCGTAGTAGTAGTAGTCGTCGTCGACGTCGTCGTCGTAGTCGAAGTCGTCGTAGTAGTAGCAGTAGTAGTAGTAGTAGTAGTAGTAGTAGTAGTAGTAGTACCTGTAGTTGTAGCAGCAGTCGTCGTGGCGATGATGGTAGTAGTAGTAGTCGTCGTCGTCGTCGTCGTGGTGGTGGTGGTTTTACTGGCAGCGAAGCACGTAGCAGAAAGAAGCAACAGGAGTACGAGGAGCAGTGGAGATGCTAGCGGTAGAAATTCTGGCCATTCTGACCATGCTTGCATGAATGGAGGCCATCGGCCATGATTCAACCGAAAGAGCGACTCGGCAGCAGCAGCAGCAGCAGCAGCAGCAGCAGCAGCAGCAGCAGCAGCAGCGCTGGTAGCAGCAGGCGCAGCCTGGCAGTGCTGGTGCAGCCGTGGTTGCAGCTAACACACATGCTCAACAAGCGAAAGTTTCCTTAAACCGAAATGCAAGGCAGGCCGAGTGGCATCCAAGCTGTCACAGGTCTTTCCATATGGAAGCGGGCAATTTGAAGTCCCTCTGTTGTTCCAGTCGCCTCGTGCGCCGGATTCAATAACCTAACCCTGTAACAATCGTAAGCTCCTAAAGCCCAAGCCCCAAGAATTCAACACAGTATCGGCGTTTAGCCCCACCCTGTTTCCTTTTGTTCCACAGTAACAGTGCGATGCAGCAACGCCATCACGGTACTGCTTTTGGGGATCTTGGACCCCAAAACCATGAACCCCTAAACTAACCCTAAACCCTAAACCCTAAACCCTGAACCCTAAACCCTAAACCCTTAAACCCTAAACCCTTAACCCTTAAACCCTAAACCCTAAACGCTCAAAAGCTTCAACTAGCACAGCACCAGGGCACACTGGCAGGTCAGCGGGCAAAAGGGCCTGAGATCAAGGGCAAAGCGCGCAGCTTCTCCAGGCTACAACACAGAGAGAGAGAGAGATGTATATATGTACATATACATATCTATAAATATGTATATATATATATATAATCAAATGTAGCCATGCACGAGGATAGTGACAAGAAGAACGCTTACAGGGAGTTGTCCGAGAAGCTCCACAGTCTTGAACTCCCAGTCGAACTTCGCATCCCACTGGAAACCTCAGAGCGGTTGCCAGCAGTTTTCACACCACGACAGGGACTTGATGATTTTTGAAGCGGGGTTCCTTCAAAGGGCTCTTTTAAAGGGGTTACTACAAGGTTTACTACAAGGAGTCTAGTACAGAGGCCTCACTGATGTTAATGGGGCTTTGGGCTTACATTGCAGCACAGCTTTGCAGGGATATTAAGAAAACACCGCTATTGACTGTTCCCACCACCAAATTTAGCGGGCTTCTGAGGGGCTTAGTGGGGCTTAGTGGGAGTCTATGCAGAATGGGGTTTCGAGTGGTTTTCTAGGGTTGTCACCGTCGTACAAGCCTTTTCATGTGACTTTTAGCGCCTCGAATTTACAGTTGAAGGCTTTGGGGCGCAGGGCTTGGGATTCGGGATCTAGGGTACGGGCTTAGGGTGTAGAGTGGGGGACTTAAAATTCGGTTTTAGGGCTTTCGGGTGGTAGCGACTTTCTCACTCTCAGAACGTCGTTATTTCTCGGATGTTGTGGGACTGTCGGTTTCATGTACACGGTGTGTTGAGATTGTCCTTCGAGGGGTGTATCTGCGTAAAGTGTGGTTGTTTTAGTGCAAGTACTCTCCTTTGTCAAACTTAACTTAAACATACGCTTGCGAATTATACCCAGCAAGACCCCAATACGTATGGGCATGGAGGACCCGCCCATGCCAGCACATTTAAAACCTTCTCAAAACACCCTAGGCCCAATGAAACCTAAAAGCACGGTTTTAAAAAAATGCTTCTGAAACTCGATATAAAGCCTGTATCGAACCCCTCTGAAATCCTACAGGAGCCGGTATGTTCCCAAACAGTGAGGTCAGACCCTGCAGGGTTCTTACGACCAATCCTCTCCAGGGTCTGGAATGCTAGAAGCCCCGGAGGCCGGTTCAGGGTTGGGGTTTAGGGTTTA